CTATTGTTCTATAACTTTAATTAGTTTGTAGTTTTATTAAATTTTGTTATCATAAAATTATTTATTTTGTTTGTGAGTTGTCATTATTTATATTTATATTGTTGAATACGTGTTCTAGAAGAGTACATAGTCAATTAACTAACGATAGAACTAGAGATTGAAAAAAAATTAATACTACGCTTACAAATCACAAAACAAATAATGAGCATATCACTAGCATAAGCAAATAGGTAGACTCGATTAAAAGACCAATTTATTTTTTTCGCCTAAGGCCTCAAATTATATTGAGCCGTCCTTGCTCTTGAATGGATATCATAGGCACTCTCCCTCTCCAAGATGCACTCTAAAATTTGATATCCAAAAAGCCTTTGACTCTATCTCTTGGGAGTTCCTTTTTGACTCATTGTTACTATTTGGTTTCCCTACCACATTCATCAAATGGATACAAACTTGTGTTTCCACACCATCATTCACTATCTCAGCCAATGGTGAATTCTCAGGATACTTCAGAAGTATAAAACGGCTGAGGCAAGGGGATCCCCTATCCCCATTTCTCTTTGTGATTGTGATGCAAGTTTTCTCACTAATTGTCTCCAAAACTATAAGGGAAAGGCCTTTCAAATACCATTGGAGATGTAAGCACCTGGACCTAACCCATTTGATTTTTGCAGATGACTAAATGCTATTCTCATATGGTAATCTTGAATCCTTAAGTACACTTAAACATGCAATTGACACCTTCTCATCCCTATCTGGCCTGCAAATCAATCAAAATAAATCTCAGGTCTTCCTATCTGGTATTAATGATAACCTCGAGGCTGCCATCATTTCCCTTCTTGGCTTTGAGAAAGGTGCACTACCTGTTAGGTACCTTGTGGTACCACCTATATCCACTATGTTGAGGTCTACTGATTGCAGGTCATTAATTGATGGGATCACTTCAAGAATTGGCCACTGGACTAGCAAAAACCTCTCTTTTGTAGGCAGGCTTCAACTCATAAGATCAATCTTATTCTTTACACAAATGTACTGGAGCTCAAAGTTTATCCTTCCAACAAATATCACACATGAATTGGAAAGTATTTTTGGTAGATTTCTTTGGACTGGTCCTATTCTAAAACCTTCAGGTGCAAAAATTGCTTGGGACAAGTGCTGTCTACCTAAAAGAGCATGTGGATTGGGGCTTCCTAATCTCACAGTATAGAATGAAGTTGCAATAATGAAATAGTTCTGGAGAATCATAAGCTCAAATGACATGCTTTGGGTGCAATGGATTAATATTTACCTGTTGAAGGGCAGGAGCATTTAGGAGGTGAAAGTGTCAAGTCAGTGCTCATGGAGCTGGAGGAAGCTACTTAGTCTCAGAAGCAGCATCATGCCCCTTGTCAAATTAGAAATTGGTGATGGCAAAGCAACCAATTTCTGGTTTGACAATTGGTCTCCTTTGGGTCCTCTACATCATCTTGTTTCCCCTCAATAGATTTTGGATTCTGGCCATGATTTTAAAACCAAACTCAATTCTTTTATTACAGAATCTACCTGGAACTTTCCAACTTCCATACTATCCATTATACCTCAATTACAACCAACCACAGCCTTGCCATCCCTCATGACTCAAAGAAGGGACAAGTTCATTTGGACACCTACTTCTTCATCCAATTTCTCCATAGTTGCAACAATGAAATACCTCATAAAACACCTTCCAACCCTACCATGGACTCCCAACCTTGAATAGAAGGTGCACAGCACACATCAACACCACAACTTGTGTCCTTTGCAATGCTGAACCAAAGTCCCACGACCACCTCTTCTTCAAATGTTCATTCACCAGACCCTTATGGGCATTTCTACAAGCGAGATGTAGGTTCTACATTCAGCCATCATCATGGAATGACTTGATCAATTGGGCCTCTCATCACTGGAAAGGCAAATCAGAGTTTCACAGCAACTCTGTATCTTAACTTAGCCTTGCAGCACTGGTCTACAACATTTAGATAGAGCGCAATAACACAATTTTTCAAAAAAAAAACCAATCTGCAAATTCAGTTCTTCATATGACACTGGATTCCATCCGCTCCAAACTTCTGAACTCTTCAATCACTGACACATCCATTGCAAGCAGATCGAGTTGCAGCCGAAGGGGAACTCCCTGAAAGTGTCATACGGCCACCGGCAAAACCACTTGATCAAAGTGCTTGAAGGAGGAGACCTCATGTTGGGAAGAACTTCCCCTGATCACCGGATTAAATGGTTCCTTAACGGATCTTGTAGAGCAATTTGTATTGTTCATGGGCTGGGTGTAATGGGCTTATTGCTCCAGCTTTATAACTTGCCTATGGGCTGATGCCCTTTTGGCCCTGTAATTTTGTTCATATTAATATATATTGAAAATTTACCTTTCAAAAAAAAAAAACTCGAATTTGAACTCGAGCTCAACAAATAATATTCGAATCAAATTGAAATGCTCTTATATGAACTCAACTCAATTCAAGTTTAAACTCGTTGTAAATTGGACACGACTTGCCTTAGCTGTAGCCATGGCGAGTTCATCCTCATGGTGCTCTCATTATTCACTTGCTATTTTCTAATAGCTTAGAAAATGACAAACTAATTCTAATAGTATTTTTTTTTTAATAGAAATAAAATAATGTTAGATTAAACCTTACAAAAATAACTTTAGAGTTTTTAAAAGTTAATTTACCAAGTATGACTACTTGTATGGCCTCTATCCCCTATTAATTATCTATGTTTCCTTTTTGAAATATTCAAATGAGTTGGTACCATTTGATATATATATATATGGATTCCCAGATAAACCATTTGTATTTCCAATGACTTTGGAAAATTCCATAACTTGGAAGTTTAAAGAAAAGTTTGTAATCCCTAGCCATTAACCTTAATTATTCCTTTCCATGGAAGACAGACAATAAAACAGATCCCTCGACGCACCTTATTAATTCTTGTCTTTAAATTCCCAACTCACATATACAGGGTGCTTTTAATTTGGCCATTTCTGATGAGACTCCATTTGCGATAATCAACTTTTTACCGGAGTTAATTACTAATTATATTGACATCTTATAGAAGTCAATTATAGTAGCTTAGTATGTATGCAGTTTAGGCTACACATGAATGAACTGTACCTCTACAGGTGTGGAAATTAATTTCTAGAGTATTTCACATAATTGTGAAGTGTTATAAAGCAATAGTGGATTCTAGATTTTGTAAGTATATAAGAGTGGGTATAAAGCTTTGATGTTAAACTCTAAAAATGATAACATGGTAGATAATTATTTGAGTAGGATGGAAAGTGTATTATTCATTTTTAACAAGCTTTACGTATATTTTTTTAAGTCTAAATGACACATGAGTACAAGTTATGCAAGTCTAACATATATATATATATATATTTGTATTCTGGATCAAGTTACTAGGAAATCATTGATATTCCAAACGTTTTAATTCTCACCATCTGTGTTTATCTGCCCTTAAAATCGATTAGAAAGATAATGTTTAAGCACCTTTCTATTTCCTTATCAACAAAGTATTGTATTAGATAACTATCTGCTGGTCACGTGAGACTTACATGTGAGAGATAGTTAGAATATTCTACCTTCGTCCCTTATTAGTTACTGTCCATCTTTGATTTTATAACTTTTTAAGGGGACATGCAATTAATGCATTGTCTCCTTTTAAAATTACCAAATTGTCCTTTTTAATTTAAATATATATACTTACAAAGTTTGAATTTTTTAAAAAATATAAAGGATAATGATGAAAATATAAAAAAAATATAGTTTGACTTTTCAAAGAGGGCAACTAATTTGGGACATGTAAAAAGAGAAAAATGGACTATTAATAAAGGACGGAGGGAGTACTAATTATTTTGATTTCTTTTACCGATGATATATACCAATATAAACGATGTAACTTTGTTCGTGTTCTCCACGCGAGTTAAGAGAAGAGTTTTGTCTTCTAAACGAAATTATTTGATAAAGTGATAAGTATCTACCTTTAAACCAGTTAAAAATAAATTAGTAATGGAAGATTAACAATGCATATATGCTCAAAAATAAAAAAAATTTAGTTAAAATATCAGGCTTACCGTTATCTATTTTTTAAACCCAATTTAAAAAATTTTGCAGGGCCTTAAAAATTAATTTTAATTGATTTTTTTTTTTTCCCACAGTTATATCAAACAATACTTTCTAGTTGATTTTTACAAGTATGCATGCCAAAGATGTTGTACATTTGTACTAGCTTCTTAATAAATAATTTTCTCCTTTTATACTTTCCACTTTATAATTTTTTTTAACAATATTCAGACCCTACTCTGCTACACTTGCTCTGCATTATTTTTGAAAGATAAAATGAAGTTAATTACCTTTCAACTGTCAATACACAGCCCCCATGGAGTACTAACATTTCACCTTAACGGAGAATTTTGTCATTTAAATTATTAGCTCCCTCCCTCAAATATTAATTATTTATATTTGTTATTAATCAAAGACTAATTAAAAAAAAAAAAACTTAAGGTTGTTAAGATTTAGTACTTTTTTAGTTTAAATATGTACAAAATAGGGATTACAATATGGGAGAGAGAAGGAGAGTTAAAAATAGTGACTTACCAGTGAAGAAGTATTTTTGTGTAAGTTTACTTTTTGTAATTTTCATAGATGACGAGTTAATAATAATTACCACTCTACAAAGTAAGATATAGAATAGTCAAGCACAAATTCCTAGTCCAGTGTGCACCACTTAGGTCTGTTTCTTAACAGGGCAGCAATCTCTATCCCCTTCTCTCTGTCTCTAAGTAATATATAATATATTATATATAGATACACATATATATAAATACATGCATATAAGACCACCGCCCTCATCCACCATTTACAGGCGAGAGATTCAAATCAACCCTTCACAGCCCTCTATCACGACTAATCAGGTTACAGAGAACGAGGTAATCTCCATCTTTTACTTGCTGTCTCACTACTTTGAACATGGCCAGTTATTCAGACCCTCATAATCACCCTACCCAAGGCACCACCACCAACAACAAAAGCCCCATTTCTTCTCTTCCCAACTCCACCACCAGCACCACCGCCAACGACTGCGCCACCACCTCTGACACTAAAACTAGTACTAATAGGAGGCCCAAAGGCACAGGAGGACCCGACAATAGTAAGTTCAAATACAGAGGAGTGAGACAGCGCAGTTGGGGCAAGTGGGTGGCTGAGATCCGAGAGCCCCGAAAACGTACTCGCCGGTGGCTAGGCACCTTCGCCACCGCTGAGGAAGCAGCCAGTGCGTATGACCGCGCCGCCATTATACTTTACGGCTCAAGGGCTCAGCTCAACCTCCAACCTTCCGGCGGTGGCGGGCCATCCAACTCCTCCTCCTCCCGCCGTGGTTCTTCCTCCTCCTCTTCCACTCAAACGCTCCGCCCTTTACTTCCTCGCCCCTCCGGCTACGGTCAAATCTTCACCTCTTCCACAACCGCTGGGTACCTACCGTACGGTCACTATCCCACCTTACAGAACCCTAACATGGTGCAAAGTTTTCAACAATTACTTCATCAGCAACTGCAACAAAATCAATTTGCACCGTTTGATGAAGATGTTAAGGTCGACCCCACAATAGCCACCACATCTTATCCACACCCAAATCATGTTGATGTGAATTGTGTGTACGATGATGTCAAACCTATTGTTGGGTCGAGCTTGTGTTTGCCAACTGAACCTGTTGTTGCACCGGCGCTGTCAGATCCGACGGTGGACGGAGGGCCAGAGTCACCGGCGCTGTGGCCGTTGATAAAAGACGAGGAGTACCCACCGGCTAACATGTGGGATGATGGAGACCCTTCCCTTTTTGATTTTTGAAGGGTTTATAAGGAATAAGAAAGAGTGTTTTTCAAGTACTATCTTGATATATATATATATATATATATATATTCCTCTTATATATACTGGCTGCATGCAACACTATAGAGGTGTATTTGGGACATTCATGACCTATGAGTTTCAACTAAAGTTGGATTTGATTAATTATAAGCCGATGAAGGGTATGAGAAAAAGGGATTGGGTCAGCGATGGAGAGACTGAAAATTAAGGTTGCATGGTTTGAATCTGAGGAAATTTATTTGATTAGGTGGTCAAGTTATGATTTACACAGTTGCATGTGTTGTACCCTATATTGGCTTCATAAGATCTGAATGGATCTCGAGGTATGTTTACTCTTCTTCTTTTTTTCTTCGTTTTTTCTGCATCAGGAAATTAGTAGAGATTGATATATATACTTATATACACATATATGTATTTCTTGGATGGTGGAAGTTCAGCGATGGGAAGTTTCTATAATTGATCATAAGGGCTAGGGTTCCAAGCGCGCACACAGATATATATATATATATATATATATATATAGGTTTGGAAGGGGAGTTTGTATCACTAGATTTTGGAAGGGGAAAAGGAACATGATAATTCTTTCTATCTTGTATCACCATTTTATTTAAATAAAGTTCAAAGTTTAATGGTTCTTATATATGGATTTCTGCAATTTTTTATTTTTATTTTTATTTTTTTATCTTTTTGGGAAAGGTTGGTTTCTACATTTGCTAAACATGCTTTGATAGCATATATCCCTTCAGATTTAAAGCAGTTCAAATAATACACTATATATATATATGGAAAATTGATCACTGGACTTCTGTTTTGTATATATATATATATATATATATATATCATTGGAAATGAGTACTTTTATTTATTTATTGTTCCAATATCTCAAATGTGACTTCATTTTTATTGCTTTTGAAAGATCAATTTTGTTGGTTTGGATCATGAACTTAAATTCCAATACAAGAAAGTAAAATATATATTAATGCATCTGCTGATTTGGATATATAATTGCGCTGTGTTTTCCGGCCATCTCAAATTAATGACTTAATTTTTGTTGCTCACGGAGGATTAATTTGAGGATTTGTGAAATGAGTTCAAGAAATTTTTGTTGCTCATGGAGTACGTAGTTGCTTTCTTGATGAAGCTGCCAAAAATCCCCATGAAATAATTCTTATCTGTTTGACTTATAAATAAAGAACACTGCTTCTGTAGATTATCTATATATATAAATTAGTGTGTGTGTGTGTGTCTGGCTGATTTGTTGGAATCCTTTTTCCTTTTATTCAAATTATCTGTTTTAGAGCATTAATTAAGAATCGATGAAATTTTCTTGTTTGTTCAGCGGAGCTGTATATATGTGCATATACGGTTGAATATATATATGGAATTAATATCCTTTAATCTTTCAACCATCCAAAAAATCTCTCTTAATTGGAAAACTGCATGTGGTTTTGCATGTACGTGGCAAATGGTAGCTTAATTGGTTCTTTGATTGGTTCAGTGTGTATGGTAATTCAAAGTTTACATGCTACTTTATAAGCATTTGGTTAAGTTACTATTGTCTGATCAATTCCACTCGACTTCAGACCCTGGTTTTATGATATTATCATATTAATATAACACTGTATGGGTTACTGGATGTAGATACAGTGTGCCATTAAGTATTTGATTGTGCGCTGTTACGTCATTCCATCACATTCTGTGGGTGTGTATGTGTGTGTGTATATATATACACGGACAATTTTTGTGTTTCCAGTCTCTACGATAAAATAGACAATTATTTAGCTAGAGGGACGGACCTGGTAGGGTCCCACTTTTTGAATTATTTGTACACAACTATTATTAGCTACAACTCGCTTGACATCTTCTGTAAAGAATAAATGTTGGGATACAAAGGCGTTGGAAACCTTTAGATAGTTAATCTTTCAATCTGACTTTGTTATTTCGATATATATATATATACACACACATACATACATATATTTAAGCATTTTAGTTTGAAAAACATTGTACTCTTTTCATCCTATCCATGTACATAATTCATTTTTGAGTAAAATCCAAAGAAAAAAAAAAAAAAAAAAAAAAACTGCTATTATATACATAATTCAAATATCCCTGGTGTTCAAAAAAACCTTTACATATTTAAAATTGAGCAAGTAAGGATAATTCTTTAATTCAAAGATTGAAATACCTAAAATGCCTTTAACACACACACACACAAAAAAAAAAAAAAAAAAAAAAAAAAAAAAAAAAAAAAGTCGAAAACACTTATTTCAAAAAATTTGGGATTTTATAAATTTTTTTGGGTCTTTTAATAAATATTTGGAGTTTTGGGATATATTGGGGTTTTTAGAAAAATTTTAGAATTTCTACAAAAAAAAATTGAAGACTACAACACCTAAAATGCCTTTAAGGATATTTTGGAGTTTTAATAAATAAAAAATTATATTTTGGTGATCAAAATTAAACATAATTGCTCTATAGTGACATTAAAGTCAAGAAAAGATGCGTAGTGACCAATGTTGAAACTTAATTGATATTAAGTGGCCATTTAAGGATAATTTGGTCAAAAATATTTAAATATTTTTAAAATAAATTTTAGATGACAAAATTGCTCTCTAATACAAATAATAACTCATTAAATTCATCTTCTACTCTCTCTCTTCTAACGTTTTCTTTTTTCTTTTTTAGTTTCCAATTTATCAATTTAAAAAATTAGGATTTCTTTATGAACATTCTCTTTTCCAAGGCTCTGCACCATAATCGCAAAACATAATATTTACAGTGACAAATCAAGAAATGAAGTTATATCCCAAAATGCACTTTATATAATATTTATAGAGGCGGTCCTTCTCACTTTGTTGCTTTAATATATTATCTTTTTCCTGATTGATTCTAAGGTCAGGGTTACAAGATGTGGTTTCTTTGTTAGTCCATTTAAGTAAGTGTGTATTTAGTTTAATGTACACGGTAAATTTGTCCACTTACATAATAATTTATTATAAGAAGATTATTTAGGTAATAAATCATCAAATTGTCACTTATTAGTAATTAAGTTTTAGGTTCGGTGACTATTCACCTTTTCTTGACTTTATGGTCACTTTACACCAATTATGTTAATTTTGGTCACCAAAATATAATTTTTTTCATAAAAAAACAAATGATCAAAATTGACTACAGACAATTTGTAAAAAAATTTTAAATTATAAGAATTTATACGTACAAGTGTGTTTTTTTTTGACACATTTTTTATATAGCACGATTTTTTGTACTTTACATTACATTTTAAAGAAAATTACAATTCATTACACTTACTCCAGCTGATACTCTACCAACTAAATTACATAATATCCAATTTATTAACATGATTTGATGGTAATGAAAAGTGAAAAATGACTTCTTCATAAACTCTTTTTTTTTTTGGTTAAAAGGGTAAGCATCTTCGTAAACTTTTCTTCATTTTCTCTGTTTGAACTTTAATTAAAAATTTAAATATTAAAACAGAAAAAATCAACTATGAATTTTGTCAGATTCGGATATGAGTTCAGATATATTCGCAGTTTGATCCAAGCCAAAATATTTTATCGTGATTGGAGATAAGTATGAATTGTGCCCATAAGATTTGGACTAAAATTTAATAGAAATCGTGACTTAAAATATGAATATATGTATGATTCATTCTGATCCACTTTATTACATCTGTCAAAAAAAACCACCACACTGCGGACGTGATTTCGAATTTAATAATCTATCGCAAGAAAAACAAAAGAGCAAATTTGTAATAGGTGATCTGATGATAACTCACCCCCCTTCTTACTTTATACTCCGCCGTTAATTTGTGAGAATTGGGATTATTTCAGTAATGGCTAAGATGTAACGGCTGAGCAATTGTTTATTTATTTATAAGTTTAAGATATTAAATAGTATTGTATATTTAGTTATTTATATTTAATTTATTTTTTATTCGGATTTGATGTGGTTCGGATATGGGACAAGTCTCCCCCATTCGAAGTTGCCCTCGTTGCAATCGGATCATTCTGCTTACCCAGTGGCTCACCCGAATACTTTCTGAGACGGACGTTTGGCGTGGCACTTAATCAAGATTGGGTCTGACTCTAATACCAACTATACCGGATGGACACTTGTCTATTTATTTAAAAATTTAAGTTATTAGATAGTGTTGTATATCTACTTATTCATACTTAACTCACTTTTCATTTGAATTCAACGTGGAATAAATCTCCCCTTATAACATTAGACCTAATACGAGTTCAATCTCACATATTTACATCTCCTAATATGGTCATTCATACTTTTTATTTTTTTTAGGGTCTAACTCGTTATTTTTTCATCAATTTGATTCAAAGTTAAGTGAAGATCATGTATTTTTAATATTTATTTCTTATAACAAGAATATTAAAATGTGGTGTCACCAACTCTCAATCTCGAATTTTTTAATGGACAGATCTGTCAATAATAATACTGATTTGAAACTTGTATTATTTTCTGAAACTTTTAATTGCTTGCTCATTTTTATGGAAGTGAAAAGAAAAAATGGAACGATTTGGAGGGAGGAATTGTTTGATTTAATTTTCTAATTTCTTTTTAAGAATTCAAATAAATAGAAAACAAATGTTTTCATAATTAAGTTTTAAAAAAATACTTTATAGAGAAAACGGACAACAATGGAGAATGATAGAATTGGGAGAGAAATGGAGGGACAATTAACCCCTTGCAAAAAGTTTTTTTTTTTTTTTTTTTAACAAAATAAAATAATAAAAAAACTGGAGAGAAAATTAATAGAAATAGGAAAGTTAGTAATTAACTATTTTATTTTATTATTATTATTATTATTTTTATATAACTGGTGAATTCTAATTTTGCTACTGCTCACCGAATAAAACAATCAATTTTTTATTTTCTCTTGAAACGTCAAATTTATCCTTTCATTTCATTTCAATTCTTTTTTTATTACTTGTGTTTATGCTATACCAAACGCAGCCTAAGTCCAACTGAGCCTAGGGTTCACTATTTGTATTCGCAAAAGCCCACAATAGTCCAGATTGTTCCATTTCTCTCATATTGGCCGCAGCCTCCAGGGGACGACTAGGGTTTTGAAAGGAAAGCGAACGAAGAACCTCGCAACTTTATCACCATGAGAGCTAAGGTAGTATTGCTTTGATCTCTAATATTTATGTGTTTGCGTGTGCATATCATATATATATATATATATATATATATATATATATATATATATTTGTTTGTTTGATTTCACGATCGATGATAACAGAGAACTGTTTGTGTGATTTTGTTGTGTAGTGGAAGAAGAAGAGAATGAGGAGGCTGAAGAGAAAGCGCCGAAAGATGAGGCAGAGATCCAAGTAATTTTCAGAGAAAATAAATCGTCCATCAGACGGTCTTAGTTAAATCTCAGGCTTTCTTGCTATCTGTTGGTACATTTTCTTAGTTTGAACATCTTATTTTGCTTGGAAATGTGATTTTTTTTTCTTCCGTATCTGTAGTTCTTGTTAACTTTGGTAATTGCAATGCGAGCTTTGATGAATATGTCAATCTATTGTGATCTTGCCGCTATGTTCTCGGTTCTGTTCGAATTATTTTTTTATTTTTTATTTTTTGATAACTATGAATCAACCCACCACTAGTCACTTTGAACTCTCAGATTTGCGGGCTTCATTTAAGTACAGGTCCCACCTTTGGTGAGTCTTGAACCTGATACCTAAGTGAGTACCCCCTAAAGCCTTACCAGTTGAGTTAGACCGGTCCGAATGGCTTTGGTTCGAATTGTTTTGGTGTTGTAGATTGTTTGATCTGCATATATGTGTCTTGGAATTGAAAGCTTGAATCTTGTGCTATAGTATTCTATTTACATATGTATTGATAGGGTCTGGCCCTACTTGTCTAACCATTAACCTTGTGTCGTGAACTGGCATTAAACTCAAGTACATGTTCCACATTTGGTGAGTCTTGAACCGGATACCTAAGAGAGTACCCTAAAGCCTTACCAGTTGAGTTAGCCCGGTTCGAATGGCTTCGGTTCGAATTGTTTTGGTGTTGTAGATTGTTTGATCGGCATATATGTGTCTTGGAATTGAAAGCTTGAATCTTCTGCTGTAGTATTCTATTTACACATATGTATTGATATGGTCTGGCCCTATTTGTCTAACCATTATCCTTGTCATGAACTAGCATTAAACTCTGTTGTCTCACACACTACCTTCACAACCACCATTAGCTCCACAAGTCATGACTCTTGATAGTGATCTAAGAGTCTGTTTGTTGCCCAGTGTATTCATTTCCGTGCGCCAGTAATGATATTTAGGCCTATTTCACAGTCCGATTTGTCTAGCCTAAGGGGTTTTTATCCTGATAAACTCAAGTGCGGGGCCTATCCACTAATCACTATATCAAAGGGATTAAAAAGCTTAGGCTTGACAAATCGGCTTTGGGAAATAGGCCTAAGCATCATTTTCGTTTGATAGACACCATCACATGGTAGTTTATTGTCAATTTTAGAGAGAATGTAAATCTGTTTCTACTTTCAACGATACTATCTGATTCGTATCAATTCACTGTAAATCTGTGTAGAATTTTTAAAAGTCTGAATCACTTGCTAGAGTTCCAATAGGCATACCTTGTGGCTTTATTGATCATTCATGTAATTTACTACTAGTGACTCGCAGTACTATGTCCAAAACTTAATGAGCTTTTATAATGCCCATTGGTACAAGCTTAATAAATGCTCGAAATAGGAGATTGGGACGTGTGACAAGGAAGAAAAGGGGAAGAATTTGGTATATCTTGATCGTCTTTGTTTAAAGGGAACTTTGAATAGATTGTACATCCGGTTATTTGTTTATATGTTGGAAGGGTACATGATTTTAAGATAACCTCAATCTTTGCATTTTCAAACCCGAGTTTACATTGGATTTAACAAAAATTGAGGCTTGGTAATGTATCTGGTATGTCTCAATCTCACTCAATAACTTTACTGGGGTAGGGATAGGGATGGGGATGGCCTGCTCTCCCGAGCCGGAAAATATTGTCCTCAAATTTGAGTGTCATCACATTTTAAAGAAAAATAACAAAATAACAAGTGTCATTATATATGTAAATTATCAACCAATGGTTTTCACTCGTAGCGAAACAACTATGACTTTAGTTCTCAACTGGAGAACTTGCATTGTTTTGTAAGAATATTTACAACTTGGTTGTTTGGTGCGAGGAAAGTGGATCTCACAGTATTTATAGCCTAATGACTTTACAATTAATAGCTTGAATTTGTGGAAGTGTCAACCATGTTACGGAGTATTTTAGAATTGGGTTCTAGATTGCTCCCAAAAAAAAGTCTTGGGCATCATATACCATGCCAAATTACTCTACAGAGTTCTATGCTTGACTTAAACTGTACAGGGTGGGCTGTGAATTTTACTTATGCCTGGTGCTGTACAAAATGAAACTAGTGGGTAGTAGGAAGAAAATACGAGAAGATGCGGGTTTTGATACACACCCCATCACACGGTAGTTTTTTTGTCAAATTTAGAGAGAATATTAAAATAAATTCAATTCTCTTCAATTTATATTATTAAGTTAAAGATCAAAGTGCAGAATTTAAAATTTTTTGTACTACGTAGTCTGAATCACTTGCTAATATATATATTTGTTTTTTTTCAATTGTAGCCTTTGTAGGGTAACAAATATAAAGACAATAACAAGCATCAGTTTCAACTCTAGAGCATTTCAGGATATAGTTAAAATTATTGGAATGGTTTTAAAAGTTGTACTAATTTATTTTGAGGGTAATTCTAATCAAAATGTTGCAAATTTGACGATAAATATGATTATGCATCACATTATTGATATCACCCACGGATGAGAAAGTAATTGATCACTGTTGCTCTATAAATAATTACTAGACGTGGTAAATGAAGTTGCAGGTTTGCAAGCCTATTAAATAACCATGTATGGCAAACAGTTTTATGTTTAAAAGAATTTATGAGAAGAAAGGTAAATAAATTAACAAGAGTTACGATCTAGTTCCAAGGCACTTTTGGAGGAAAATGCTCCAAGAAACATAAATTACCTTTTTATTTGCAAAACATATTTGGCTTAAAAGTATTTTTTTTTCCTAATTGGTACTCACACATACATGCCTCCACTGAAGTTTGATTCCTTGACCTCCCTTCAGGAAGTAAGAACCTGATACCGTTAGGTCACTTACCCGTTGGTATTTAACTTAAAGTATGAGCTGGGACATTTCTTACTGGATAGACAAAGTGCACTTTGAAAGAAGTAAAGGACTTCAAACAATAAATGATGTCCTCCGTATACACAAGAAAACTTTCCATTGAATCCATTCGAACAATAATCTGAGCATCCATTTCAAATTGAACAACACTTAATAAAGCCTGTCTCAACATGTATGTTTCAGCCACAAACGGATTAGAAATATGAGAGAAAAAGAAGGTGGTTGCTGCAATCAGTAGTCCCTGATGATCTCAAGGCCAGCCAACCACCGATTTCAGCTCTTACTTTGTCAACGGCCGCATCAATATTAGCCTTGAGAACAACCATCCCCGAGATCGATCAACAGGCACCATTGGTGAAGGAACAGTCGAATCCAAAGGTTCCCATATTCCATAAAACTATTGACAGCCACAGAAACAATGTTTTCAACAGACCATATCTCTTAACTTAAAAACAAAGGCATTTCTCGCTTTCTATAGGAACAAACACACAGTAGCTGCTAAACCTTTAAAGATTCCAAACCAACGCCACAAACTTTACACAAATGATTTACACAAATGATCCGCAACCAATCTTTTTCTTTTCAAAATTTCAAAGACTGCAATTTTATTATGCAAACAACTCCAAAGGAATTGAGTAATCTTTGGCTGAACTTTAAACCTTCTATAGCTTTTTCCAATAGCTCTCCAAAATTCAAACACTACTACTTTCAATCTAAGCGCCGCTACTTTGATCCCGCCCTTTACAAAGCTCCAAAGCTATTACATAAGCTGACTTTACTGAGAAAATACCCCTTTTATCATATCCCCATACCATTTTATCTTCTTGTTCCACTACACTAAGTGGAAGTTGGAGAATTTTTTGAGCATCAAAAGAGCAAAGTACCTGAGAAATGAGAGTAGGCTTCCAGGATTAGTCCGAACATCAATGAGATCTGAGCCTAAAAATAAATCTGCAACGGTGGATGGCCTAAATTTTTTTGATTGAGGGGAGGAATCCAATTATCTTCCCTACAAAAAATACTTTTCCCATTTCCTACCTCAGTAGCAACCCCTTTTCCCTCACTGCTCTAGCTGCCAAGATACTTCTCCAAACCCAAGATGGATTATGCCCCTTCCCAGCTTTCAAAAAATCTAAGGAAGGATAATACTTTTCTTTCAGAACTTCAAACAACAAACTAATTCAAATCAAACCCACATAAGCTAGAAGAGTAAGGTTGAAGCCTCCACATCCTGGAAACCCAACCCACCGCATGACTTAGGTTTCACCATACAATCCAAACTAATTCAACGAGTTTTAAACTTTTCCTCCCAAACAGCCCACCAAAACTGAAACCATTGTTTCTTCAACCTGTCATAAAAAAAAAATTGTAGAGCTTGAAGTAAGATATTGCTTAAGAGGGTAAGCATAGCGACAAAAAATTTCCTTTCCATTGCCTTATTTTCTTTGCAATATTATCTTTAATAAAACTGAATAACTCCCCGCCCAAATACTTCTCTTGGCCCCACTCTTTTAAGGATATTAAGTAAATCCCTCAACAAAACTGGATTGACAATGGAGTATTTCGACTAAAAAAACGAGGCTGGACTTGTCAAAATTCACAATTTGACCAGAGGCTGACTCATATAAGGCAACAATTTGTTTAATTTTAGAGATTTCCTCTTCATTGGCTTTACAAAATAGTAAGCAATCATCAGCGAAAAACAAAATGGGAAATAACAGGAGCTGTCCACCCAATTTTAACCCACTAATGTTACCTCTCGCCACTTCCTTATGCAATAAATCTAAACAAGAAACAGGTAAGGGGTCCCCCTGTCTTTAAGCCCCTTGATACCTGAAGGAGTCCCATTTAAAATAATCGAAAAAACTCACTGTATTCATGCAAGCATGCACGAGTCTGACCCATCTATAATCAAATCCCAGACTCTCTAAAACAGTCACAATATATCCCATTCAACTCAATCATAAGCTTTAGACATATGTAATTTAATAGCCTTATATATTCTTCAGAAAATGCATAATTTCATGGACAATAATAACATTATCATGAATTAAACGCCCAGAAACTGATAATGCTTTCCAGCAAATGATGTTATGGTATGTATCCACCTAACTCTGCAGTCTTTAACACCCCCTTCCCAGCAAAATTAGAAAAATAAAACAATACTTCCTTTTTATTTCAAAATAAATAAATAAGGAGGGCTAAATTTGGATAGGATTAGTGTCCACCACTGTCAATTTGGGAATTAAAGGAAAACACACACACACTCAAAAAATAATAATAATAATAATAATAATAATAGTGCACACATTGCAGATAAAAAGGA